TAGTCTTCTCTGTAGAAGTTACAAATCGCTCAGGAATGCTATGGGTTTTGAGGTACACACCTAGGCCATCTTTGTGCCAGCATGAAGCAAGATTAAGTTTTGTTTATAGTACAAATAGCAAGAAAACTCTAAGTACATATGCATCAAAATGACATTAGTGTATCGAATAGCAGTCTGAAAATCTTGCATTGCTTCAGTTTCCTTTATCATGCTTGCTGACATTTCAGCTAAACGAAAGCACCTTAATTAACCGATTTGGATGGAACCCGTCATGAAATTTGGCAACCCTTGCTCAAAGATTTAGTTTGCAATCAATCTCAATTTTAATTCCAATTCCACTGCCGGGCTCTTATCTCCCGTGTCAGTTTGTTGTCTGTTAGCGAAATGTGCCGAGATGGTTTCTCCAACATGACTGCATTGTTTCTTATGTGTGGTTTAATACACTCCCAATTACATTACTGCCTTATTTTCACATTGACTTTTAACACGCCTTCAATGTGCACAGATTGCATGTCTACATTTGCTGACCATGTGCTACTTGCATTGCATGTGCCGAGTAGATTGTGTTACCATGCAAAAAGGCTCCTTTTTGCTCTGTATTACATAACGTTTGTCCTTACATTATTTCCACCCCAGCAGTGACACAGCTTTCCTTCTTGATATTCATACAGTAGCTGTTCCAGCACAGAACCCTACCCCCCATTCAGCCCTCCCTGTGTTCCCTTTACGTAAAATCAATTTTTTGCATCTTCAGCTCTTTACTGAATAAATGCAGCAGAGGAGCAATTTATCAGGCTTTTCCAAAAGGATGTGATGGCTCTTGTTGCGTTTCAAGAGGCAACACCATAGGATTTATTAGCAAAAACCCTCCAAAAGACACCCTATGTGTCTCCTTAACAAATTTTCATGTGACAATTACGAGTAATGTATTAATCTAATCACAGGGCTCTTTGGAAATCTGGCAGCCCTGCAAAGTGTGGAGAGCTGTGGCTGAGAGAGCCAGCTGACAGCTACAGAGGATTTCCTGCATTCCTTTAAATCCTCTTAAAACATCTTCTCTGGAAAAATCTTTATTTGATATGCCTGCACGTCGGCCTGTAATCAATCAATCAATCAAGCAAGCACGAAAAACATCAAGAGAATTTCAAATAAAAACTCCAGACTCAAAATTGATTGCATGTCAGTATCAAAGGCAGAAAAATTCAGCCAATTCATTGATTTTGGTTTTAAGTTTAATTTGAGAGAGACCATCCATTAAAATTAATTGTTCCGGCTCTACTCCAACCCAACTAACCAGACAGGAAAAAAAAAAACATCTAAGATGTGTGTTGCAACAGGGCAGACATTTCATATCTTATTTTCTCTCCTTGAAAAAATTTTGCAAGTGGATCAGAGGTGAAGCCGAGCTTGAATACCTGGAGAAAACGCAAGGCTTCTGAGCACGTCCCTTTAGGAGACTCCTCACCTTTAGAGCACCAAAACAAAAACCTCTTCTCATGGTCCAATAATCGAGGTGCTCTGATGACAACGTGTTATTCCCCCGTTCAGTCAAAGCTCATTTGCGATTGAAAGGTTTAGAAGTCACAGGCAGTCTTCTAGATTCTGTAATCTCATGCGTTAACAGGCCTCTTCTGCTGAAGCTGCCTCACTGTGTACAAGGAAAACTCTGTGTCCTGAACACAGCCCTTTCTCTGTTTCTAAACTCTATCTCCAACTCATTTCTGAGGCTCACAGAGCCAGAAACATCTCCATTTTCAGTATCCCTCGACAATTTGGTCTTTTGTTCATTATTTTTTTTCCACACTGGCATCTTATTAATACCTGCACACATTAGCACAACGGCTCCAGTTCCACCACTGTTTTCCCAAAGATAACAAAGACGACCCTGTTCAAATAGTTGCACAAGCCCATCCAGAGTTTTTGAGCATTTCTGATATGACGTTGGTATTGACCCTTCACAGTACAAACACAGATTGGTCACTCAATAATTTAGATAGACTTTCCTTTGGCCATTTTAATCATGATATTGAGCTTTTAGCTGCCAGAATCTGTATTAGGACCTGCTGTGTGCAAAGAAATGAAAAGGCATTGATACACCTGGGAATGAAGCTGTGAATATTGGTCCATTTACAAAGAAAAATTATTTGCCTTAATTTCTCACTTAACAGGAGATTTGAAATCCTGTCCTACTGCAGACATGTGCAGAAAAAATGACTAGCAATGAGCCACACCCTCATTCTTTCACTGCAGTGATAAATTATTTTCTCTCTCATTGTCAGCTTTTCTCCACAGCAACCCAATTGAAATGATCAAATCATTGTGATTAATTCCTCTGCATACTGTATACCAATTGTCTTAACACACAGCTCACTTAAGAAACAGGAAACCCACTAGGGACAAACTGGAAAGAAAATAAAAAAACCGGGTTCTTGCCCTTCGTTGGGGGATATCTATAGATTGAAGCAGATGATTAATTCCACACTAAATAAAAGCATGTAACTACTTCCATACCAACATGTAATGCTTTCAGTATACACAAAAATGTAGTACTAAAATATCCCATTCTAATATTATGAAACTTAGTGATGCTTTTTCTTCATTTTTAGATTTAAAAAGATCCATGTTGGTCCTACAGGGCCAATGTATCTGCAGGTTTTCACTCCAGACCAGCTTTTAACAAGATAAAGCAGTACATACCAACTTAATTAACAATTGGCAACTCCTCCAGGTGTTCAGGTGCTTCTGCTTTAAGGAGATCTAAGAAACATGCAGTCCCACCAGCCTTCCAAGTTCACGACTGGAAAGCTCCAGCCTATGTATTGTTTTTTAACTGTGATCATAGAGAATAATGCTGAGGAGGGGTCCAAGTGGTTCCTCTTAAAACAGCTGAACCATATTACAGTACGTTAAAATGTGAAATCAAACGATCAATTGCAGGGGTGGCAACCCTGTTCTTGGAGCGCCGAAGTCCAGCAGGTGTCATTGGTCTCCCTTAAATGAATCATGTTCTGTACACATGGAACTGTGATCCTTTGATCACTGACACAGGTGACTTATTCAATTAAGAGGCTTTGGCCCTAATGTTTGATTTAACATCATACGAGCAAGATTGGTGATATAAGGAGTTTTACTTTAAAGTGCACTGTCCAGGGATGACTTTTAAAAAAAGGCAAGAAAGGTTTTCAAACTAGAAGCCACTTTTAGATGACTAGTTGCTTTTATAAAAACATGAGAGAGCGGGACTGTTGAGCTATTTTATCCATAACAGGCCCCAGTAGCATTCAGCTGTATCAATTTATCACATTAAATGTGAGGCACCTTAAAGCTCATGTCATACATACGGACTAGCATATATCTGAAACTGCCATGATAGATGTTTCTTGCCTTGTTCTAATCTATAGAACAGTATGATATGGCTTCAGAAACACATTTTTTTATCCTGCAGTTTACAAGGTTGTTTATGACCCACAAAGAAGCTGCATGTTCTACTATCAGTTTATAATAAAGGGTTTCTGCATAAATCAGGCAAGAACAAAAATATCCTAAGCTTATTTTAACTAACAGCAACATCTCGCTACTTTAGTAGCTGTTATGAAGTGTGGACAATATGAAGAACGATATGGGATGCACACAGCCTTGACAGTGCAGATCTGACTGATGCCTTGATACAACTCTGCCATCTATTGACATATGGGCAGTACTGCAGATCACAGCTGCCCATTCTTAAATCCATTCATTTCAGGAATCATGCTGGTTTATGATGAGCTGCTTCCTAACCTGGCATCCAGTGTGGGCAAAGCACAAACAAGCATATGGGGGAGAATAGCCAAGTAACCTGGATAGCATGTCTTTGGACTGTAGGGGGAACCAGAGCTCCCAGAGAGAACCTGAAGAGCCGTAGAGAGAACATACAAACTCCACACAACAGGTCATCCAGGTTCAAGAGGCAGCGATGCTAACAGCCACACCAGTGTCACCCCAATGCTCTCCTTTCCTTCAAGAGAAAGCTATCGCACACAGATTAGGGCAGACCTAACAGAAAACAGAACTGAAATCAGTCATTGTCTGAATTCTGCTTAGCTAGTATTTCAGCAGGATAAGATATTTTGGTGCCCGGGGAGACAATTATCCAGACTTTCAGAAGAGAACAATCAGCATTCTACATGCATATTGTTTCTATAACTGAACTCAAAAGGCATTCAAGGCAGACAAGGAGCTGCAAGGCTGGAATAGTGACCTCTCCTGACATAACCTGCTCAAAAAACAATAGCTGCAGACTCTTTTTGCATCTTTGCAGTTAATATAATTTTGCGTCGTGAATTTCATGAAGGATTTTAATTGGGTTTAAAGAAGAAAATCAATCAAATGGGAATATAGAAAAACTGTTTCAACAATTAACATTTTTTACCCTATTTCATTTGTATATTGCAATTATTTTGCAAACCCTAATGGACAAGTTGTATTTTGACAGTGTTGTATTCTGCAAAGAAATATGACAGAACAAGATTAACAAAATGATGTTTTCAAAGGCTGAGAAACAATTACAGTTCTCTTTCTCACCAGTACCACAGTTAACTGGAAAAAGAGTTGTTCCTGTACTTACTAAGAGGGCAAGTACAGTAGGTAGACATCTTGTCAGCCTAGTCCATGGCTTTATTTCATATTAGAAACACTAGTTCTAGACTTGATGAGGTGGTACGCAGAAGTCTAAAACTGAACTATGCAATTAATATTGTCACTAGATCAATGGCAGCCAGCACAGCAGGGTCCTGGGCTTATTTTTAGAGTGGGCAACTTCTATGTGTTCTGGTTTCCTACCGCATTTCAAACACATGCAGGTTTAATTGATCTCTCTTAATCATCCCTGTGAGCTTGCATGTGTGTGTGACCAGTGGTGAACATCCTGACCAATGTGTGTTCCAGTCTCTCACCATAGGCTCTGGGTTGCTAAGGATTAAGTGGCTTTCTCAGAAGGAAAGGACAGATTAAGTGTAGTCATCATATTCTTTATTATCCCCGTTTGTTCTTTTTTTAATAAAATCAATGTAATGTCACTCATGTTAATCAATAGCAATCATCAAACAATAAGAATGATACAGTTTGACAAATCAATTTCAAATCATGCTGCCTCAGCTACCACATTATAGTTTTCATGTAAATCCCTGACAATAAAGTGATCAGTCTCAAACGACTAGAAACAGAGAACAGCAGTGAGAGATGAGTGATTAGATTTTCTATAGCTACACTTTCTGATTCAAGTTGTTGATCACAGTGCACAGAAAGCCACGATTGGATGTAAATTACAAACATGCAAAAAGAAGTGTTTCCTCATGTGCAAGAATAATTAGTAAATTACAACATAAAACACATTTCAGCCCATTTTGCAAAAACAAGTGGGCAGCATAGCTTAGTGAGTAAGTCTCTAGACTCATAACTGCTGGGTTTTGGGTTCAAGTCTTTCCTGCAAATATTGGTAATGTGCTTTGAGCAAGGTAGCTAGTTGCTGCAGTCCGTCCAGCTGTGTAAATGTGAACACAATTGCTGGGAACAGGCATTGTAATGTACTAGAACTCCCTCCCTGAGGGGAGGCATATGCTTTCCAATGCCTAGAAAACAGGATAAGCTTTAGACATTGTGTGTAGCGTGAATAAAATGACCTACCTAACAACAACAGGCAAAAATAAGATTATTCAAAATGTTTTTTGGGGGAAAAAAACAATGCATCTATGTGTGTTTTATCTTTTGTTGTTATCTGACTCACATTGTTGTCTGACTCTTCACTCGCTACTAATTTTCTTGGTGTAGCTCTGAATGCAGTTTTGGAAATGGGCAGGCGTGTTGTGCTCTGGTTTGAAAAGGATAATGTAGCACTTGGGAGTAAAGTAACCCAAGAGAATTCCGTACAGGCTGGCCAGCACAGAGAACGCGTTAATCGCAGCAATGTACTTCCCCTGGTAGACCATGTAGGCTGTTAAGTAGAGGATCCAAGAGAAGAAAAAGATCAGCAGGCTGAATGTTATGCACTTGGCCTCGTTGTAATTCTTGGGCAGGTCAGTTCCCATGTAGGAAAACATGAAGCACAACACACTGAGGGCGGCCACAAACGCGATCACTGTAACGAAGGTGTAAAGATTGCCCATGTTGCAGTCGAAGATGATCTGGTCTTTGAAGAGGGCAGAGTTATTGAAGGGCCGGGGACCCTGGCTGCCGATCCAGACGCCACACAAGAGGATCTGGAGGACGATGGCGGTGGCCACGACAAGCCACTGCCCGTGGTTCTTGACCCAGAAGTCGTAGGCCTTGGGGAGCTTGGCGGCCATCTTGAAGATGCAGACGATCTGGAACGAGCGCACGGCGAGGCAGGAGATGCAGGCGGTGTAAAACACAACGAAGACGGGGTTCCTCAGGGTGCACTTCTCCCGCTGGGGCCACCCGAAATAGCAGAAAATGCTCAGGCTGCACACGCTCAGGCAGCTCAGCATGAAGAAGCACATCTTGCCCCCCGCGGACTTGACGACAGGGGTGTCGTGGTGACGGGCGAAGACGATGGCTATGGCTCCTGACAGAAGGAATATCAGCCCCGCCAACAGCAGAATTCCGATGGATATGCCTTCATTGTAATGGAGATATTCCAGGGTCCTTTTCTTACAGTGGGTACTTCCATAGTCAGACCACTCATCGTCTTCACAACTCTGGCAGGTATAGGGATCGTCTGTGAAGTGAGAAAAAAATCTGGAAACTCAAAGAAAAGCATGCAAGGAGAAGATATGTAAGTACTTTCTGCTTGCATGGACATCATAGACAAACTCAGTGTGTTCATACAGCTGTCAGCAGACTTAAATTGTGTGTTAAAGTGCCCCTTAAGAACTTCACAGAGGTGTGGAACTTCTTAACTGACAAAGATCCAAGGCACACTTTTTCAGGCCAAATCGCAATACTTCCGTTAATCCGCGAATTGCTGGGAAAACAGGTTTATTTGTCTGTTTCGGCACTGAACAAATTGCCCCAAGACACTACATGACTACAACAAAACATAATCAGGAAATGGTAGGATGTTTTTGAAGATTCCAGACCCTGACACCCCTTAGCAAGGCATGCTCATGAAGGAAGTTCCTCCCTTGGCAATGAAAATTACAGCTGACAGAGAGGATAAAGGAGAGGCTGTCTTGGCACCAGCTTGAGTCAGAACGTCTGGCTTAGAGTCACACAAACCTTTTGGAAGCCCTTACTGGTAAACATCTAGCAGGCCTGACGTACCTGTCTTGTTGACATAGGTTCCATTGGGGCAGATCTCACAGTCAAAACAGCACGTATGAACTCCACTGACTTTCCTCCTGTGACCCTCCTTGCATTCCAAGGAGCACAGGGCTGTGGGAACCTGCAGGAAAACAGGGCATTCCAAGGGCACTCAGAAGCTTTCCTCCAAGGTAAAAACTGGACTGTGAGAGGCCATCACAACAGGACACTGCCCACCAGGAGCTTGCTATGCTGTGGTGATATGCTACCAGGTGAATTGCTCCATATTTAGAAGCCCTGCCTCTTGTCAGCAGCTGTGTGAGGTAGCCCAGAGAAGGCAGAGATCATGCACCAGGGCTCTGTGCGAGAGAGCTGTATCTGCACTGTGAGATATAGTGAATACTGTGATTTTGGAAGAGAAGAATAAAAGAGAGCAGATACTAGTGTACTGCCTTTGTTTTAGGCTGCACACCAGGGACAACTCATTCAGCCCTTTTTTGAAAACCTTTTTGTATTTTTCATTTTATCACCCAAATTTGAATCATCAGTTGTTTCTTTGCAAGTGAGCTCTCATAACAGTGAGTCCTGTGCTGTCCAGATGGAATGAGAGAGGGCAGACAAACTAGTCTAACCAATAATTACCCCCACTTATTTTACAATGTACTACAAGCTCCACAGTGCTTTACAGGAGAGTTAGAGCTTCTTGGAGGAGTAGCAAGTCTCTTACTGACATTATGACCAATCTGCTGCCTGGGAAGCAGCATCACTTCCTGTGAGCAGAGAATTAAAAATCCCCTGGCCAAGTAATCCTGGTCCTACACCCGACACACTCTGCCACCCAGACTAACCCAATGTTTTAATTTGCAAGGCACCAAGAACCAAAATATTGCTCAGCATTTAAATACAACAGAAAAAAATTTAACTCACTCTATGTTGGATTCTATTTAAGATTAAATGACAATCAACAAGAGTCATATTCAGTAGAGACATCATTTGCAGTGCAGCAATTTTAGATTTAGGATTAAGCAAGGAAAATATCCACTTATTTCCTCGATTGTAATATGTAATATCACCAATGCTTTTAATTCTGTTGAAACTGCTAACACATTGAAGTTCACATTCCTACCGTTCCATTGCTATGCCAGCGAATAAGCTCTTCATCCAAATGGAAAGCGATCGATGGATCTGAGACATAGGAACCAATCTCCCTGTGATACAAAGGCAATGTCTTGTCCCAAACCACTATCCCATAGTTGGGAGCTGGGTCTCCATTTTTGTCAAACGAGACAGTACGATTGTTGAGTGTGAAATTCACATTTTTCAGTGTTTGAAGAAGCTGCATTCAAAGATAAAAAGGTGAAAAGGCTGTCTTTCTTCGACCACTAAACATATTGTTTTACAGTAGACTTTATTTAATGTTACAGTTCATTCAAGCCAACCTGTTTCTCAGTGAACAATAGACATAACCATCCTGCAGTATTAAAGAAGCAGAACATACGCTGGAAATCAATTAGACAGTATAAGTAAATTAATAATTGAACCTTTAGTTTACAAGTTTGTACTCCATGTATGCACTAACTAACTTTGAGTAAGCTTATTCACTGTTTAGAATCCTTCTTGTGCATTACACAGATTCAAATCCATGCTTTGCCTTTAAAACACAATCAAGAATTCCTAGGAAGAAGAATACAAGTTATCTATCACTGGGAAATCCTTAACTCCCTTATACCCTGACACTGGATGGAAATACAGTGACTTTAGATAAGCAATCACACATTCACAAGGCTGGCTGTTTGCAGGCTGGGTTTCACAGCGTGAAAAGAGAAGTGTGATATAAAATCCAGTGAAGGTTTATACAGTATTGTACAGTATGACATCTTAAACATGCCAGGACTGCTACCTCCTTTTCCTTCCAACCAGGAATTGTATTCTTCTTTTTAGAAAATCCAAACATTATTAGTTAAAAAAACTGGTACCTGGTAGGGGATAATTGTCCCAGATTTCCGACAGCCTTCGGCATCACATCCCAGGAACTGGTGCAAGGAATGAGCAACAGCGTACACAGCAGAGTAAATGCTAAAGCTGTACATGGGGTCTTCATCGGCAATGCTCTGGGGATCTGTGCTAGAACACTCTGAGCACACCTGGTTACATGTTTCCCAGGTTCCTATGTGTGGTGAGTTGACACATGTGCCGTTCCAGCCCCGCGTCATGGTGCTGTGGACAAACTCCCTCAACCCAGGCAGAGCCACCACCTTGATAGTTATCCCTATCACGGTGCCGATAGTATGGATCTGTGTGTCCTGAAGCAGCTGCTGGTTCAAGGACCACGTCTCGCTTGCTATCCACACTTTGTCCGAGATCTTGTTTGAGATTGCTGCTTTGATAAACGGGACAGCGGACACCTTAGAAGCAAAGACTATGACCACGTTGATCTTGAGGATGGTGATGTTGGAAAACAAGCTGCCCATAGCGGGGCCTTCTGTGGGGATGGTGGACTCGTAAGCCACACAGATGTCATAGGGGCTCATCTCCTCCTTCAGAGCTTGGAGCCCGTTGCGGCTGTAGTCGTCGTTGCCGCCGATGAGCGCGATCCATCGCCACCCGAAGCGGTGCAGGATCTGCAGGATGGCCCGCACTTGATTCCTGTCGCTGGGAATGGTGCGGAGGAAGGAGGGATAACGCTGTTTGTCACTTAGCAAAATGCTTGACGCTCCGTGACTTATCTGAATGTAGAAACAAAAACCTGGATGGGTCACTTGCCTACTCCCTATTTAAATACAATTCTAGGATGATTAAAATGCAGGGAAAAAGTATGCTGATCAACCCAGTAAAAAAACTTTGTTTTAAATAATTATTAAAATATTGCTAATCTTTAAATTTGTTAAATTTCATTTAATTTAAATCCGACCTAGTATTCAAATAACTAATCAACCCAGTTAAACAACTGTACAGCAGTTCGATCCATTTGATTGAGCTGCAGGTTCTTACTGTACAAGTAAGAAAGTCAAGATCAGATTATGGTATTTCACACCATAGGTCAGTCTGAGTGAAGCTACAATAATATGGAATAATAAGGATAAGTTTTCTGGTTTTCTTCTACTTCGGACCTGAATGACTGAACTAGTTATGTGGAAAGGAAGTTAAATCACCAGGATTTCTAGGTCATAATCAGTTACTAATTGAAAAGAGACAGTAAAACCTGAAGGACTCTTGAGGGTGGGAACTGCCAATAAGCACTTCTGCTTCATCAGAGCAATGTGCACAAGAAACTACAGTTGATTATACCCGCAAGAGATTCAATTCCTAAGCAGTTTTATTGCTACATGTCACCAAAACAAGATACAAAAAAGTACTTACCACAGGAAGGAGGTAGGCCATGAACACAGGTGAGAGTATAATGTTTTCAGTGCTTCCAAAAGGGCCAATCAAGGCTGTCACTTTGGGCTGATAGTCCTTGAAGTACTTAGTGACATACAGGGATCCAGTGAAGTTTGTGGAAAGGAAATCAAAGGCAACCATGAAATTCAGGAAATCGGAACAATAATCATAGATCTCATAGCCCAGGGAAATGTTGGGAAGGAGGCTGGTGGAATTATTGATTTCCTCCACAGCGAACCTCATCACCTGGAGCTCCTGATAGCCTGAGGCTGAAAAATCGAATCTGAGAGGTGGAAAAACCATTTAGACACGATTTCAGCAGACTCCGGAGTGGGAAACAAACATCAGCATAGGTTCAAGGTTATAGCATTAATGCTTATGTGCACTGAAGAATGTTACTGCATATGCTTATCTGGCAATGTATCTCCTGTACCAGTTCCCAAAAAAGCCTTAAGATGTGTCGAAGTGAGTTAAGAACTGACTTTGCCAAACGAACATACATTGTTTGCATCTTACAGTACATCTAACTTGTATGCAACTGGATAAGCACCTAAAAGGATGCTGAGAGAAGAAAGGATCAACAAGCCAACCTCTGTCACATACTACATGAGGCTGTACAGTATAAAAAGAGTTGGAAAACCTTTAGCAGCTTGCCTGCTCTGCAGCACAGTCCCAGTGCTGTGTTGCTGTGTGTACTGAACTCAATAAAGGCGAGAACTGCACAACTCTCCTGGTCTTCTGTTGAAGAGTTTCCAACAGCTTTCCTTAACACTGAAGCCCCCCCTTGTGGTGGTTTAACTCTTCAAATCAATCCAAGCAACAATGACATAGCTTGGAATAAATGCACAAAAGTTCCCACAAGAGATATGAACTCAATAGTCAAACCACTATAGAACAGAAGAGATGAAAACTTTCAAACCAACATGTTTTATAGTGCACCTGAGGATGTTCTTTAAAGTAAGACAGTGGAAGGGTGTCATACTTTTTCTTTGGTTTATTGATTATAAAACACGTGTGGGAAACAAGACCCATTGAAAGTGATTGTACTGGCCTTTAGTACAAATTAATTGTATAACTGAACCGATTTTGAATTATTTAAAGAATTAGCTTTAGAGTCTTGATCATTGTGTAGATGTGGAGTGTATTAAATGATAAAGTATTGGAAAAAGTGACATCAAGAAGCTATGAGTGATTTACAGGCACTATTTAAGTCTCTTTGGTTGTGATTGTCATTAGGACTATGCAGAACAAGCCAGCATCTATCTGCTCTGCTGCTTCCATCCGTAAACTGAATGAAACACAGGAACTGATTGCACTGTTCAAAACATCTTGTTAATTTGAATACATTAAATTATTACTTTATAAAAAGAAATCCAAAAATGAGACCCAATATTTGCAGATCTATTGTTATGATTTGTGGCTGTAATAACACAGGGATGGTTTAATTTGAACAAAAACAATTTCACATTTATATATGCACTTGTATGCAACTGGATAATTACCTAAATGCATACTTTAAAACTGCATAACCACATATACTGTTAAAACAATGCATGCCATACTTACTCTCTGCACTGTACTGCTTCTGGCTTGCTGTGTACATGGTTGAATTTACGATCAACATGAACTTTAAACAGTCCTCCCAAAATATAATCACCATGTAACCTGAAGTCAGACAACCCACAAACATTCCCACCATTTGCCTTGAGAAAAGACAAAGGCAAGATGTTGAATAGGATCACAAAGCCTTTCATTGTTGTGACAATTTGGCGTCCTCCCTATTTTTCTTCTCAGCACGTTCAGTTCAAGCTGCAAGCCCTTCCTCTTGGTTGCACATATCATGGCACAGATTTCCCTACAGCCTGGTTTGTTTGAACCAGGATATATGCAGCTTTCCACACATCCTGGTTTGTTCCAACCACAGCATTTGATTTCTCGCAGGGTTCCGTGCTTGGATAGCCCTCAGACTGGTAATGAAACCAAACCAAACACAATCCAATGTAGATCATTATCTTGATACAGTCAAATCTGCAGCACAGGTGTTCATTAAAGTCAAATGTTTACTTTACAAAAATGCAAAATGCCCAAATGCAAAAAAAAATAAACAAAAATGCAAAATACGGTCCAGTTCCTTTTTTGACCACTGTGAGGCTCTACTGCAATCATCTGATCTTTTTAAGACTTAACAGCAGGGCTACATAAATTCAGGAAAGAAATGATGAGTTTTGAGTTGTCAGTCTTTCTGAATTTTGCTCTGGTGTAGAATTACTTCACGTCTTTTGGATACAGTGGGCAGTACAGAAATGAGCAGATTGATCTGTAAACCATTGTTTAGGATATGATTTTACAGTATCAGTCTTTTTTTCCCCCAACGCTCACGGATACTTAAATGTACAATCTTTGCAAAGACGTCACAGAGTGAGCTGAAAAAGATGTGTGCCAAGGTCACAGGGCTGGAAAAGGAGGTGAACACTGAGCAGAGGGAGTGTACAGGCTGAAAATGAGAGGCAGCTCATGGAAAATGAAACAGGCTGAGGAACAGAGCAGTGCAGATTCGGGGAGACTGAAGAATATGTTCCTTTACAGTCTCCCCTAGTATCATCGTCTCATAGTCTAGCGAAGACAGACACGAACATGCACAACTACAGAAAGATGTACAGAGACGCGAGAGGCTTTTTTCCCCCTAACAAAAGGGTCAATGGAAACAAAAAATTAGAGCTGTAAAGTGCTCAAAAAACAAAAAGCGTGCTCGAAAAGTAGCAGACATCACAGACAGAAGTCATGTAAAAATTCCTTGAGCTGGACAAGGTACATAAGGTCACCTGGGGGTTCAATGACAAACTTCATGTTTGTGAAATTCCCCAGGTGTTAATATCACTCTGCCCTTGCCTTTTTTCTCTCTAGCACGTAAAGGCTAACGTGCACCTGGTCAGTGCTTAAATCAGTCTTAACACCAGATCACCAACAATATCTGTGAAGGATGCCATTTCCCTGCTTTTATTTTGGATGTTCTCATACCATCCCCATCAACCATATAGCTATTTTTGTTGTCTGTATGTGCCATCTCCGCTGCTGCTGATTCTTGCTCAGATTATGTGCTTGGAGATGCTTCCAAACCAATCAAGACAAAGAGCACTGGAATGCCACATTAACTGTGAGAAAAAGCAAAAGGTACATACAACTCTTCTTGTGTAACAGAGTATCACACTTTCATTTTTGGCACAAAAGAGTGCAGAAAAGACACATGCAGTACTCTTTATTTTCCTCTAATCTGACCTCTCGACAATCAGTTTTGAACATGGAAAGGGATTTATTTTCAAATAAAATTAAAATGCAATATGGTGTCAAAAGCAAACGTTTCAGTTCCTGCAAGCTTGGTAAAAAATATATATACATTTAGTCCACTTCATTAGGAGGTGTCCATTTGAGATCCTTCTGAAAAATAAGAAAGAGCAATAAGATCAATATCAATACATGTTCAGTTTCAAGTTTGAAAAACAAAACTCTGTACCATAGAGGGGTACTGTTACAATTTTTCCATACTAAAATGCAAACCGTGTTTCTCAACTTCTCTTTTTCTAAAATAAATTCCATCTTAAATTTAAAGTGAGGCAGAAGTGTATTTTAACTGTGGTGCAAAACACTGTCGCATCATGTTTTTCATAGACGTGTCATGTTTCTGTAATAATAATCCTTTCCACATGTCCCCATTATCACTGATATTCTTTAAACTTACTTGTCTCGTTGAAAAGAAAAGAGTCCTGGTATTCCTTCATGTACTGAGAGGAACGAGACTCGTCAAGAAAGAGAGAGTACACGCGTTTAATATCCTCAACCTGCACTTCTGTGCCCTGGAAACAAACAGATAATACATGATGCTTTAAAACAGAGCAACACCCTCAGGAAAGCTGTCTGTATTCAAGAGCATTTGTCAAAACACCCTCTTCCTTGATGCTTAGGGGTGAAATTTTAAGGTTTCTTCAGGGTTTAAAATTGAAGGATTGACAGATTTGTGACAGCATAACTGTGAAGGAACACAATGGATTTATCAAGAGAAACCTTTCTCTTTTTGAGTCTCTGGGTTTCGAAATATATTCTCATTTTTCTGTATTAACAGTTATTCAATGAACTGCACAGTGACAGTAACTGGATAGCTGGAACTATGAAAGCAGTGCACACAGAAATACAGAGTAGAGGAAACATTCCACTGAGCAAAGATATTGTTAGTGCTCTGTGATTTACATCACCAGTGTTCATCAATTAGGCCTTCTGTAAAAGACCACCAGCACACCTCCCAAAGCAGCATCCTCTGTTGGGTACAGTTGCCGTCCATGAGGACATGTTCACTTAGACAGATTCCCAACCCTAGTCCTGGGACCAACGCCCCTGCCGGTTTTGGTTCCAAACACTTCATATAATTGAACTAAACAGTTGCAAATGAGCTGGCAAGAACCACTTTAACCTATTCAAATGCGGAAGGTCTTAAGTAACAACAGTTCAAATTGTAACCTCCAACATTTTAAATGCTTTCTGTTGCATAAGGCCATTAGGTCAAATAAGGTGTCAACTATATAACAGCGCTCAGCTGAGACGTAGACCAGCAAGTCAGGGAGTCCTAGGGAGTAGTGTCAGGAAGCCCTACCTCACAGCACCATTAGCATCTGTACCAAAACTCACTAAGCCATCTACTATGAAACAAAAATACAAAGATGGACCTCCTGGTTTTTTAGGATACAAAAGCTATACATAAACATACCAGAAAATAAGGAGGAAGAAGACAGTCACAGAGTTAAAGAGATTTCAGCAATTTTGCACAAGAGAAACTCGAAAGCGGGTTTACAGACCCTGCGCTTGCGGCACACGAGCCCCGCAGTGCTGATGAGCTGGATGGCGTAGCGCAGGGAGGTCTCCAGGCCGATCCGGGTGAGAACAGTATGGGCCTCTTCGCTGAGCTCAACGTCCTCCTCTTCACACCTGATGCACAACAGACAGGAGGAAAAGCGAAGACCCTAAGGTGTACAATCCAACGCACAAGGCATTATGAGCTATGGTAATGATGTAACAGCTAAAATATTTTATGTACTGTGTTAGGACTTGTTCCGACTTATTCTAGATTTCTTCTAGATGAACAAACTGTAGTTAAAACCAGGACACAATAAACCTCTAACATCCTCATTTTAAAAAAATTGTACATTCCTGAAATACCATGAAAAATCTCTTTTTACACGGAATCATCTGGTTTGTTAATAGTCAGTCTTACCGGATTTTGAGGATCTGGCGCGTCTCCTTTTCAGTGTAGGGGGAAGTAGCGATGATCAGCAAGCGATCCAGCAAATCTAGTGGGATCCCATGTGGGCTCTGGTAGTTTGTCCCACGAATTCTAAAAAAAATAAAGACATTGCTCAACAAATGGCAAAAGGGGATGAAATATCCTCCCCCATCAGAAACAAAAATATGTACCGTACAACTGCTTACAAGGGGCCAAACCCCCAACAGGCCCTGGAACCAACAGTCTATGCAGGTCCAAGTCTTTTAATCCTTAGACTGTAATACTAGAGAGCCCCTGCAGGATATTGCAAGGAGCTGCAGTGTTCTCCAGTTTCCAGGGACTAACGATACAGGTGGTGCCCAATATACATCAGGGTGAGTGACCAGGAAGTCACAACATATAGAGAAATTATGTATATAGGGAACTGTTTCCCCATGTATATGAACAGTGTAAATATGGAAAATCCTGGGACTATAAGAAAAGGTTTGCCCGGAAAGTTTGCCCATGTGGCTTGAAGCGAGAGCTTTCTCCCATGGAATTGCGTTCATCTTAGCTTTCCAGTGATCTTATTTGTTGTATGTCTGGTCATCTAGTGCTACTCCTCAGGTCTTGTGTTCTACAACCTGCAACTTGATCATAATTGCTCTTACTTTTTTAATTTTTAATCTCCATTTCCTTTACTAGTACAATCACCCTCAGGTCTTCACCACAGAACATGTTTGCCAAGAGCAGTTATCTCATACCTGGTGATGCCTCGGTTGGTTGCCATGATGAGGACGGGCGAGAGGTCACTCTCCAGAGCTCGGTTCAGGAAGGAGAAACACTCCATGTCCAGCATGTGCACCTCATCAATGAAGAGCACCTGCAGGTCATTACATATTCACCATAAATCCTCTTTTCATTGCCAAAAACTTGATTTAGGCAAGTAGATACACTTCATTAACTTAATTTGCATTTCAGTACCTTTTGACCACTGTGACTTTAAAATGTACAAAAATATAAGAAAAGGCAATTGAAAGTTACCTTAATAAAAATAAAAATGTAAAAAGTTTTAACTTTTTCCTCTTAACATTCCAGTTAATATTAAATATATAAGGAAACAATGGTAGTGGTGTGGTTATGTTTTTCACTGGAGGTCACAGAAACTCATCAATAGTATGTGAAGGGCAAAGGAGAGGACAATTCATCTTACAAGGCATCTGCTAGGACCTTAAAGGTGTTGCATGTCAGTCAGGCCTGATATTAAGTACTTCTTTTATATTTATTGGCAGATAATAAGAGTTATATCTACTAGAAACCAACATAAACTCACAAAAACATGCAGTGCATATAAAACAAAAATGTCTGACCCCAGGAATGATCTCTGCTTTCCCCTCCTCCCTCCACTCAGACACTTTAGCGTTGATCTGCTCTCGGACTTCCGACTTAATCTCTCCTGTGTCACCTGTCAACCACCGAGAACACATATCACTGCAAATCAGTCACGACAGCCTCGAAACTGGATTTCATCCAACCAAATGGAAAAATGCAGTACAGACTAAAAATGATGTTAAGGGCAGACCTGAGAAGAGAGCCAGGAAGCCCTGGGTTCGACTGTTGATGACATCAATTTCGTGTAGGGAGACAGTGTGGACAACTTCCTTGCGCTTCTGTAACTCTCCTTCAGGACACTGGACAAACTGAGTCTGCAACAAACAAGAGACTCGGCTAAACCTGTGCTTGAAACGCAGTCACATAAAGACCAGGGACGTACCATTTGAAGACTAATAGCAAAAGGACACGGTAGATAAAAGACAATAAGTGTACCTGTGCTCCCATAGCATCATAGTCTCTGGCTCTAGTGAAGGAACGTCCCAGTTTGTTGATCTTCCCTGTGGCTTTATCAATTGTGATGACATCCCTGAAGAAACAACGAGCACCATGGTTATTCCAATCAATATAACAATGGGATCCCTTGTCTTTGTGAACTGATTGAACCGCGATCAGCATAATCACAATGAATAATGAGCAAGGCTGAGGTCCACAACAATGTAATGAGAGCAAGATTACCAACCTACATCATATAAAGATCTAAATCAGCAAGTCTTACCCTGCCTGCACGCGTTCTTTGCTCAAACTCTCAATCATTTTGCTTCCCAGATCATAAATAGTCTCCATCTCTGTTGTTTTCAGGGTCAATTTCCCCACCTTGGATCCCTGAGAGAAAAAAGCATATAAAAATGAATATAAACAGACAGAACACGACTTACTACCACTACATTCTTCTATTTCTAAATCAACACCAAGCACTTTTTTTTAAAACTCAATGCATTACCTGCAATAAAAAAGCATCTCTAAATTGGAAATATAGGTTGTGTATTGTTTTGTATTTATGTCTTCAGATTAAGCCTGAAAACAAAAATTTAAACGCACCATACCTTCAATCACATACAACACAACAGACACATTCATGTCAACATGTAGGATGCACATTGATAGAGCATCACTAATTTTAATCACTGCACTCACAGTTCCAGTTGCTGGCCGATCAATTTGAATTTCAACAACCTCTCCCTCGATGATCTCGGTCTCCTCCCTGCAGGATGAAAAGATAGTTGCCCAGAAATTAAACCCCTGATAATTCTGACTGGTCATTTTCAAAATGGGTACGGTTGTCTTTATTCCAATCTAACAAAAAGCCTTAAAGCCATAAAACAAAGACATACTGGACAAGCCTAATCTAAATACAAATTATAGCGACTAAAGAGGAGCTATCTGGATTGTCTTTAAAATTTCATGTCTTTCATTTGCCACCATGACCAAAGCTCTTGAGGGCCTCAGCACCCATCCGCATGCTCACACTCACTTGATCCTAACTCCGATGGCTTTTCGGAAGGCCTGGCTCAGTGCCTCAGTTTTGCTCATTTCTAGAGAGTAGATCTCACTCCCAGCAAGTGCAGTGAAAGGAGTGTCTGGACCAAGAGACTGAGCAATACCTAAAGAGACAGAGGGTAACTCATTAATGCGAGCACACTGAAGATTTATACAATTTGGTACAGACAAAGGAGTTACAACTCCCTCCGTATAAAGTGCTCTGTTTTAAAGTTACATGCAGTAGTTAAACTTGCCAAAGTGTTTTATACAGCCGGTGAGATTTACCACTATAATTTCCTAACTTCAGAAACTTAGAAACAGAACACAGAAAGCATACCCATGGCAATGGCTGTTTTGCCAGTCCCAGGCTGTCCTGCGATGAGAACAGCTCGCCCTGCGATGTGTCCCTCTTTAATCATCTCAAGAATCAAGCCTGCGGCTCGACGGGATGCTAACTGACCAACCATTCCCTGAGACACCTAAGACACATTTCAATCTGGAATTACTAACAGCATGGATTCCACCAAAAATGAAAAAGTACATTATAGATTGAATTTATTTTTTTACATATGGGTGACAGATTAAAACCTATACCAGATTATTATGAGATTAAATGGGTTATTATAACACGGTTTATGTTGCAGTGTGACAACAGCACTAAAAGAAAATTAACTTGGGCAGAAAATGAAGAAAAGATGTGTTTTGCTAAGAGAATTCCGCAAGATGCCAAAAGAATTAAACAGTTTTTTACCAGTATCATTAGAATAACCACTCAATATCTGTGCTTTACAGTGCTCACTTGCTTCATTCCAAAGCACATGCTTCAGTTTCTAAATCCCACATGCTATGATACAACTTACCTGTCGAGGCTCCAAAGCATCATCCAACCCCAGTCCTCGGATATGAGAGTGCGCCCCTAGGGAAAATGACCATACCATTGGTCCTCTTATCACTCTAAAGGTATTTATGCAGCACAAGTTGGATATAAGGACTGCAATCACTGCACAGTTGCAAATAACTCTACAGGAGCACTATTGACTCCAGTTCCTGGGGGGGCACAGTACACCAGGTTTTAAAGATAACTCACAATCCTCAATGAGTAAAAACAAAAAGACTGGGAACCAGTGTTAATACAGACTAATTATATAAATAAATGATTCAAATCAAATAGTCCAGATTGGGATGAAAATCATCCCAATCTGTAGCCTTGCATGACCAGGAGTGAATATCAGTACTTTACAGCAGTGGTTCCTAACCCTAGTCCTGAAGGAGCTTTGAATATTCTGGTTTATCCTAAAGTTGTGCTCCTAAGCAAAGGCTAATTGATCTCAGTCTGTGGTATATTAATAAATCTGTCTTTAATAACTTGTAAAAGGTCAAATGGGATTGACATTGTAATTCAGATGATTTGGCTTACATGTGACCAATAGGACCTCTGCATGAGGAAAAAAGGCTTACAATGGGCGTATCTGTTCATCAATTGTTCAACACGTAAGAACTGTTTAGTCATAACTAATGGAAAGTAAGTTTAGGAGAGGGTGCTTAAAGCTCTGTAGGCCGATGGCAAAATATACAGGGTATATTTCTGAAACACAGGACTGACCAAAGAAACATGTTAAAAGTTTTTAAAAAGTAAGCGGCTCCATTAAGTCATCAATGAGCACTACTGGAGAGCTGTACTGGAATGAACACTAGCACACAAAGTGTTCTCCCAGGATCAGAACTGTGCACCACTGCTCTTTAACATCACCCGCCAACTGTGTTTTAACTATGGGGCCAGCTGCTTACTTTCTCATGGTTTGTGACATTTTACATACACCTTCATACTCTAGCTCAATTATTCATCGAAAACTTCTAAAGACTTACCAATTCTCTCAATCCTGGTGATGTCACGCACCTCAGGAACCTTTGTTGTCGCCATCTACAAGAATAACAGAGTATTACTAACTCATACATTTATGCAAATCAGTCCTTCTGCTGAAAGTTAGTTGTTCTCTGTATACGTGAAAAAAGTGGCTTGATATCTAACATATCTCTGAACCTCAATGGGAGCTACTTCTTTAGATGTCTGGTTCTTTCAAGATGTTTTTACAATATGCCAAAGAAAATTGTCCTGCTTAAGAAGGAAATGCACAGTGCCCAGCCACTTTGTTTTGCTTTATAAGGGCCTGGATTTAATATAAATAAGTGAAGAAGAATAACACATCTCTGAATATTAATAGTAGCTAATTATCCTCCGGTACTTAAAAAAAGAGGAAAAACATCCCAAACAAAAACATATAATATAATGCAATTTTAAAATAGACACATAACTGAACACGCCCATACACATACACATTGTTTTCTTTATTGCTCAGACACCTACATTATGTATTGTCCATTATAAAACTTAAAATGACAGTAAAAAAACCTTTGGCTTTTGCAAAGTTCTCTGCATGTCATTTGGCAGTCTGCACCTTGAATTGTGATCAAGTTAGAAGCTCTACAACATGACCACTAACACTAAAGACAGGAGTACTTGCTTTTCACTTACAACCTAGGAAGACTAGAACTCATTCTAAACATTTATGTAAGAAAAAAACAGAATTGTCATTTGATCTGCTTTGACTTAATCCCATTAAGACAGCATAAACAGTAACCTATAATATAAATGACGAGTCTAACAGTAAACAAGGCCGAGAGTCCAAACTGAAGCCTGCACTGTTGCCATAGTGATTTGGCTTTCCTGGACGTTGCTATGGGAGCTACTCTGGGGAACGTCAAAAGTAAAACGTAGGGTTCAAATACAACCATAGAGATTGTTTTATTTTTGTGTCAAAATAAATACTAATATATCTAACTAGGCGGTTATATTTTGGAGCGCTTTTGCCACATTTTTGGTAGAAACACGTGATTATCAAGTTTACATGTTAAAAGAATATTGTACTGTTGTATTAAACTAACATGCGGCTACACTCTCCCCAAATCAGCTAAACCTTGGAGTACAGAACAGTATTTTAACGAAATAACAACTGACCTCGGTCTACAGAAAAGTATAAACGCAGAAACATTGCCGCCACTATTCTGTAACCACTCGGGATGAAATTACACCGGCAACAATCAATATGGCCGAATTGCTCATTCCAGTGTGGCCAACAAATAATTGAAAACCTAATCATCCACTCTGATATACGGTACGTTATGAGTAGACACGTACGAGCTTAACAAGTATCGTATTTATACTGTTTTCTAGTGGGCTGTTGGTTAGGCGGCGATTTACATGCTCTCGCGGGTAGATTCAACTCATCCTCATCTCTGGGTTGAACTTAATAAAAGCCATATTTTGAAAAAGCAACTCATAATAGTACGATGGCTTTAAATCTACTCCTTTCTAGAGACACTTTTTTTAACTCAAAAGGCAACGGACACTTGTAAGCTTCTCTTTTTATAAGCATGTTACTCACCTGCGCTGCCATCTTTTCGAAAATGCGGCCGTTCGTCTGGTCGCGCCTCTCAAATCCTCCCGATGTGGAAACAACAACGGAGTTGAGTAAGTGTTCCGGTTGAATAACTGTGTGAACGTGTGGATCCTCTTGTCTGAAGAAGTTTTAAAAAAATCAAGTGAAGAAAAATAGAATGAGTCCGAAATATACAGTTAAATACATGTGATTAAGAAATTAATGATTACAGATTTATTTATCTTAACAAATATTAGCAGTCTCTGGACGCAAACACATCCCAAAGCTCACCTACTCAAGTCTGGTACAGACAGAGCGCCCTCTTTTAAGATCCCCACTTGGTGTAGGAATCCGATGTAAGGTGTAGCGCCAAGCTCTCAAGTATAATAAACACAGGCAGCAACATTAGTGTTCAGACACAGAACCTGCTCAACCATATCTATACTAGAAGCGTTCAAAGGAAAGCATTTATTATTATTTTAGTAACAAATTATGCCTCACATCCACTACACTGCCAATTTAAAACAATATATCTTCCGGACGGCGTTTCAGAGTATCAAAGGTTACAAAAAACATTTAAAAGAAGTTATTAATTCCGAGTGCCTTCACTCTTTTAAACCCTAATGTATGAGCCCCTTCAGAGCGTATATATGCATGCAGTTTAGACTTATATTAATCTTAATATTCACTCTCTACTCTTATGGTTTTGTACTTATGTTTTGTTTATGTATTGTATTGTTATTAATATTACATTGATTGTATATTTTCGTAAAAACCACTGGATGTTTTGGGAACTCCATTATATGTGGACAATAAAGTAGATTCTGATTTTTCACATCTGTAGCAGTAAGGATGCACTTTCAAACCGTATTCGTACACTGCCATTGAACACAAATAGTTGTTAATAAGGTTAATAATTAATACAGCTGGATATTGCCCCTTCAAAAGAAACGTAGTTAAAGGTTGAGAATTTATCTGTAGTAAAACCAACATAAAAAAAACTCCTTTGATTTGGGGTGTTTGAATGCATTTAGAGTTTTGTATTTTGCTTGTGTTCCAACTCACGGGGAGATGTATATGTACTGATGGGAAAAAAAGGAAATGCAACATTTTTCTGAAATGTGAATACTAAAGTTAAAGCTTATGTACGTTCACAAAAAGTTGTTTTTTTATTATTGATGAGATTTTTTAGATTGCCGGTCTCCTTGAATAATCCGCGATTCTACAAAACTTTCAAGCATCACAAATGTGTGATTTTTGTGCCGTGTTCCAGCTAACTATGGCAGAAATCGAGAAGCTGGTGTCACTGACAAAAAAAAAAAACACATGCCGCAGTTTTAGATTGGGTATGCGTTTAACTTTTCCGTGCTACGTATCCATATTTCGGAAGGAATTGTTAACCGACTGCATTTTACGTATTCAGGTAACACAGCCGCAGTAGTTTATCCAGGAAGAGGCTACCTGAGTCCACGGGCTCGATTTGCATTACCGCTTGCCGAAAGAGAAAACCACGGTATGCAAGAGCCAGGCAGGAAGTGAAAGTAGTGAGGATTTGCACCGTGCAAATATTGAACACACCGTATTGCCGGGCCACAAGAGTCCGCTCATGACGACGCTGCATTACTGGTGAGTATTTTTGGCAGAAGCAGAAATCATAATCATGATGCCTTACTACATGCATGAACAGGGTTTAAAATATAGAAATAAATGACACACGGATAAACTGTGTTTTTATTGGTACATTTAACATTTGTGACTGGTCGGTTATAAGAATGTATAGCTTAGTCTTTAATAAAAACTGACAGATATTCAGATTTTATAATTAACAGGAGTAACTCCGCAAGCGATGCAAGAGCAATTCACAGCTATAAATAACGTTAAGTATTGGGCATTAACTTGGTATGGGACTTTTCTTCAGTAAACGATTCAAGTAGCAAAAACGTGAAGTACTGTATAAGAGATGAGAAATGCTGAGGTTGAACTACCTATAGAGGCTAAAGGGGTCCGGGTTGACGTTTTTCTTTTCTGAACATGGTGGAGAAGCAATAAAGGCTTACTGCTTGAATATTTGTAATATTACGTGGAGTTTGAACAGTCCATTAAGATTTCTAATACTGTATTTTAGTTTCCGGGTTACAAAAAAACTGTTCTTCAGCATTGCCATCTGGATTTTTAATTATTTAGGATGAGGGAGACCTGTAGTCATTTTTTTTAAGAATTCCACGTGTGAACTTCTCCATGCGGGCATAGCTGGGAAGCAATCAAGACATTTCATTTTGGGGGACATTGATGCCCTCGTGTGGCTTCAGGCTGTAATACAGGCAGCTTCTCTCGTTACTATGCTGCCTGTTCACAGTGTTTTTAGTCTTGAACAATGCTCCGAGTGCGGAAAGATACAGCGAGTCGGGTGCCCTCAAGGAACACCAGCGCACTGATACGGGAGAGACGCCGAACTGCTGCACACAGTGCGGGAAGAGCATCTCATAAGACACCAGCGTACCCACACAGGGGAGAAGCCGTGGTAAAACATGTAACGAGTTGGTTACATTAAGTTACGTTTTTTGTAACTGAATGAACAGTGTAAGAGAAGTTGAGTGATCGAATACTTGTTTATCAAATCACACAAACACGGGGCGAGCATGCGAACTCCATCCAGATAGCACCCCAGGAAATGAACCCAGGGCTTCGGGCTACCAGGGAGATATGTTTATAATAATAGGTGGGTTATTAGTTAATGTATCAGCAAAAGCAGTGTCATAGCAATGCGATTGTTGCTCTTGTTTCCAAAGCTGTCTAATTTCTAAATAACTGCAGTTTGCATATAAGGACGCAGTTCATGTTAGCCTCTTCTTTCTCAATACAAATTTAACAATTTAAACAATAAGCACTGTCCATCAGCTCCAAATCAATTCAAAATGTTGAGTTTCAAGGAGAATTGCAAGCTCCCAATTGATCATTTTACTGTTTGTTTTTTTTGCGTTGGATCGTCCCTCAGTTCTGAATACTAGTGTGTCTCGCTTTTTAAAGACTGTGCAAGACAGGATAAAGATAGACAGCACCACTGACATAATGTTCCTTTTGCACAGGATATTAAGAGGGAAATGCAGTCCTATTCCTGAAGAGCCACTCAGCCAGGAATGTTTTGATAGTTCAAAGGAGGTTACAGGGCTGCTTTCTGTCAAAGTGAGAGCAGAGCTGCCGAGTTGAAGACTTGATTGAACTGAAATCTGTCACCACAGGGAAGAAGGACAGAAGCCCTTTTTAGGGCCTGTTGTAGTTCAGCTGTGGAAGAAGGTTTTGATCTTTCTCCATGACACGTACTAGAAACTAGCTCTCAGCACAGAGCTCCTGAGTGGGTTTTAAGTTACTGCTTTGGTGGCTGATGCTTTTATTCCAAAGCAACTTCAATTTGTCCCCATTTACTGAATACAGCTGTTAGTTTGCACCATAAAGAATATATATTGCTCAAGAGGTTTGAACACACAGACTTTTACCTGCGATTTCCTAGTCTTTCCCACTACTCAACACTCCTTCCCAGGTGACTAGATGTGAGAATGACTAGTAATCATCTTATTTAACTGTCGCAGTTTAGGAGATAAAGATGTTATAGTATGTTTTCTAACAGTGATCATCTACTGTGGCACCATGGTGGTGCAGCAGTGAGCATTGCTGCCTCACAGCGCTGGGGCCCTGGGTTCAATTCCAGAGCTGGGATGCTCTCTGTGTGGAGTCTGCATGTTTCCCCATGTTCATGTAAGCGTCCTTCAGGTGCTCCAGATTCCTCCCGCAGTCCAAAGGCATACTGGCAGGTTAACAAGCTTCTGGGGAAATTGCCCTGTGACTGATCTGTCCAGGGTCCATCCTGCCTTGTGCCCCTTGCTTACCACCATAGAGTGTAGCTCCGCAGTGAGTACACCAGTCAGTCCTTCCCTCTGCCCCTCAGCCTGCAGGCATGACAGGAGCATTTGGCTTCTGGAAGACATGGAAGCTTCTGGTTCTTGCTTTTTAAACAGTCGCCTGACCAACCAATTAACTTCCGGCAGCTGGTCAGGTGACCAGAGGAACCTGGTGAATGTGGTCCTGGCAGGGCTGTGCTCTCGCAATGGGTAGCCAGCACAGCCACACCACTGCTCAATAGCTAAAGACTTGGACGCAGTGCTGGGAGAGGTCAAATGACCAAGCAGTCAGCAGTTCAGTTTAATGTCTCTTCTGATGGATGGCACTTGAGACCTGCAGTGTCCCCTGTCACCAAACTGGTCCATTAATCGCCAAGACCTCTTATATAGAGCCTTCGCTCTGATAGGTTCTGTACTGTACAGTCTACATTAGTCCTGGCAGTCTTTGTGAGCTCTATATCAAGAAAACGTTTTTGCATGTACTTATATTGTAAAATATTTATTTTTTGATGAGCTGTAAGTACACAACCTCTGCATTTCCCATAACCTGCATACAAAATTAAATTTAAATAAATTTTCCCCATTTTTAAAAGTAAAAGAAGCATATATCCAAGCAATATTTGGATTTCTGTCAGACTGGGCTATTCAACTTGCATTGTTTTAGTCAGCACCATTACTCAAGCGTGCTGCAACTACTTGAACATCTAAATAAGGAGCAGAATGATCAATAAAGGAGCAGGTCACATTGAAATAAAGAAACACACTTCACTGGAGGTTCACTAGTGCTGATATAGGGGCTACTTCACATTCTTACCTGTTGCTTACCTGTTGCTACAATGTTTAATTTTAAAATTCTACCTCATGTCTGTATATTGAAACTATTTGTCTTTCTACATATTACTTTTGAAGTATTAATGATTGGATTGTAAAATTTCAAATTAAATAACCTCCCTAAAATGGGTTCATACTACATTGTGCACAATGACCCTATGTATACACATTTAAAGCAAGGTCTGACATAAAACAGTGATATTTACCTCTACTGCCTGTTTGCTATTTTTGTCTGAACATACCTCATATGCCAATTAAGTGTTTGTGAATCCATATGTGTATATACTTTTTATAACTCAGCCAAATTGATGCTGTTGATTGAATTCCATTTTGGTTAATCACTTAGCAGCCCCTTAAAAAAGATCAAAAAGAAACTAAAATGGCTTTTCAGGGCACATGCCTTAAAATATATCCTTTAGTTATTGCCATGTATTATATCTCATTTAAAAATATGATATAATAGCACAATGTACCACGAATTTCATTTCTGTTAAAGAAAGAACAAACATTCTTAATCCCTCTCACCAGTATGATTTTGCAGGGGTTGAAAGTAAATTCAGTTTGTACAGAATTATTACAGAACAGTTAAAACAGTAAAACAACAGGGGCAAAAGAAGGAAGATGACTGAAGGGTAGATGTTCTGAAACACCTGGTTACAGTGGTAGGAGAATCGACAAGGCGCCAGGACTGGGGGCTGTCCTGCAGGACTGTGAACTTTAGGAGAAGAGAAGGCAAACGGGAGGATTGGGATGATTGAATGCCTTTTACAGCTGGCAGATTGTTACAGCCGATTCATACCAGACCCAAAATCCAGCGTAGATGGGCTCGTTAAACGTGGCCTTGAACCTGTGGATCAGGGACATCGTGTCGGAGACGCTGTAAAACGAGAGGGTGCCAGCGCTGTGATCCAGGAACACTCCTATTCTGGAGCAGTAGGGGGCGCTAATTTCCACTGGGTCCTTGTCATGCCGGGGGGAGTAGCTGGAGTCGGAGCAGAACAGGCTCCAGGACTTTTTGTTATATCCGATGCGGCAGCTGTCGCCGTACCCGGACCTCTTCATGCCCTTGTAGGCGACTCCAATGGAAGCGCCTTCTCCGCTCCACTCCACCTCCCAGTAATAGCAGCCGCCAGACAGAGGCTCCTTGCAGAGCACCTGAGGCAAGCAGTCGAATCTCTGGGAGTGGTCGGTGTACGGCTGGGTGTCTCTCTTCAGAGCCGCTTTTCTGTTTCCTCTGGAGAGGTACAGCTGCCTGTAGGCTGTGTTGGGGTCCAGGGTGAGCTGACAGGCATCTGATTGAGGAGAGAGTGGTCAGAGGAGAGATCAGTTGTTTAAAACAAACATGCCAGAAAAGCCAAAGGGCAGCCTTTCATTCTCTGGTCTAACTCTTCCTATACATGTGCAGTGCCCTGCGATCATAGATGGATTGTTCTTTCTTTATCTGATCAAGTCACTTCAGTGGATTTTGGAATCACAATGGGGGATTCTGTCTTCCCTCAGCTCTTGCCTGTTTCTAGTTCAGAGTTTTAATTCCTGTGCACATTTATTTATTCTCTCATGGTACGAGCCTGGAAATAGAGATCTAAGTGTTGGCATCATTGTTCTAGGAAAGCAAAAGCGATCTCTCAGTTGCAGTAAATGTTTGTTCTTTGCTGGTCCACAGAAGCGACTTTTAGTTCCCCAAAAGACACAAAACTCCAAAGCACAGCTGAGAATCCGCTCCAGGAAAAGTAGCACTCCAACATCCAAAGGCAGGAATCTCATCATATAGACCACACTGTGGATAATGCTAGATTATACTAATCTTTTTTTATCCCTTTGCTGATTCTGTCATTAATATAGCACTCTCTTCATCTCAGAATTCAGTCTTTCTTTTTGTTTCTGTATACAATCTATATAACTCTGTGCTGCTGTTGCAGATTTTTGTATCCAGTTTATGCAAAGCAAGGCCCTCTTAGAGTTGCAGTAATTTAGTAAATCAACTATATCACAATACATGGGGTTGTCTGAAATGCTATTCGATATTTTGTCACATGTCTTTTTGCCTAGGAGTTGTTTATTGACCATGTGGTGATGATACAATTTAATGACAGGATTCATTAGTGCAGCTCTACAGAGGTAAGAAAAGTAAATGGTCCCACTGGAGAAATAAAAAGTCCTGGGTTCAGATTCTGAGACCTTGAGCTTTACATATCATTAAGTGTATATCCATTGCAGAAGATACGGAAGGGAACTGTGACAACTACATGATACATTTGTGTATGTAAAATGTAACGAACAGTGAAATTTAATGAGTCTGATTTTATTTAATATCAAGTTTGGCCAGCCATGATCCTGGGGAGTCACAATCCAACAGATTTGATTAAATCACCCTTAACTAATGAGCTTCAGAACTCTTGGAATGATTTCATTTTGATCACAGAAGAATTGTTCATTTAAATAGATCATCCATCCTTATTTTCTAACAGCTTTATCCAGTCCAGGTTCACAGGGGAGCCAGAGCCTAACCCACCAAGCAACAGGCGCAAGGCAGGATACACTCTGGATGGGACGCCAGTCCATCGTAGGGCACACACAGACACAAACACACACACACTCACACCAGGGACGATATAACCAAAAGGCAATTAATCTACCAGTTCCAAGCCTTTACAAATATAAGGGTGACCTGTGTAACCTGATTGATTGTGGTTCTGCAGGACCAGGGTTGCTCCATATAAGCTTCAGCTACACAGACAGAACAGAAAAGACCAAAATGTGTCTCTTTGCAGCACCAACCAAAGCCAATCCACTGGGTTAACCTCCATGAGCCATGCAAATAAAATATGATATAAAATGTCACCTGCACAATAGTTAAGTGTTTTCTCCTGAAGGTCAAAGGTGATGGGATACTTCCAGGATTTCACTCTTAGAAGATGAGCGTTGATCTGGAAAGCCAGAAGTGCCACACACCAGTAGCAAAAACAGTAAAGAAAAGAAGACTGATTCTTTTTTAAAAATTTAGAGTTACCAATTTATTTAACAGTTTAAATTGTTACTTTGGAATAACCAATTTTTTGGGCACTTCATCCTGTGGTGACAACACTACACTTGTCTGTGGAAGATTTTAAAAGCAGCACAGGTGGGTTCTGCGAGAGATCACTGATCACCCTTTATCTGCTTTATCTGCTCACTTTTTCATCTGCTGGAGGAAGGGCACAGCGCTCGCTGATTCTTCCTGGATTCGCAGGTGAGGAGCAATGCATGGATCTTCCTGCTTTATCCAAACTATCTGAACCTGGAATTCCCCTTACCATTTTAATCTTCCTCCTGGGACTTTGATTACCTGTCCTTGTCTGGCTAATTGCACAACCTGGATCTGAACTGACAAGACTTGAGTATTCATTGTCGAGACTGTAACTTGGATGAGCCACTCAGTCATGATCTTCCTGGAATGTGGCCTAGAGTAATGTGTGGGAGTCTGGAGCTGGCTGCCCAGTTATTCTGTCAAAGCTGATACCCCATCTTCTTTCAAGAAATGGCTGGTTGACATCATTGGCTCGGTTAGTTACTAACAACCAAGCGAACTAGACAAGCTGAATGTCCATTTCTTGTTTGCAAACATTCTCCTGCTCTTATGTCATCAGCAAGAATAGAAACATACAGGATGTTTACCTGATCTGGCAGTTTCCACTTCTTGACAATTCTTTGCACAGGAGCCTACTATGATCTGTAAGATGCATTGTTCAGTATTTCCGAACACTGAAAATGTACATCTTGAAAGCAGAATCTAAGACTCACATTTTAAGAACTCTCCTCTTTGCCTGGGTTGGAGACTTGGTGCACTGTTGAGTCCAATTTCATTGGCTGGGGAGGAAAGACATGCTAGTGAAGTACTGAACACGAACGAGGACCCATTGTATGTAACAAACATTATTCTGAGATTGATGTCATAAATCCGTATCTATGACCTTGTGAAAGAGGCTGAAATGCTCCAGAAGTATGGCAAATCCCCTTTGCCAAAAGTCAATAAAGTTCATGAAGCAGAGTACTAACAGCACTTTGCAGAGTAAATAAAGACTTGTATGAAAATTGAGAGCTCTGCCTATCTAACCTTGGATATCATTGAAAACTTCTGGCACTTAAGGCAGAAAACAACAGGCTCTGATATGAAGCAGCTCAATTTAACCTGTTTGTCCTTAGAATAATGTGTAGAACATTCCTTACTAGTGTTATGTAATTTTAATAACACAAAGGCAAGTATTTACCCCTATCATTTTTACTGGTTTTGTAACATTCCTGACTTGATAACACCCTATACTATCCCACACAAAGGCAAGTAATGCAACCTGACCAAACAAAAGCAACTGAAACAAATACTTAAAAGGACTTACATTTCATTGTTCTTCTTTTTTTACGATTTTCCAGCTGGCAAAAGGGCATTTTATTCACTGAAAAAAAAAGAAATAAAAGCTGGTTTGTTGAGAAAAGACAAGGGGCAGGAAGGCGAGCCCCTGGTCATACAGGTGCTGAGAAGTTTGGCTCAGCCTCACACCTGTTTTGGTAACCTTGACCATCTCTTCGTTGGTGAACTCGTTCAGGTGCACCTTCATTTCCGAGACGGTCTTAGTCACGGCTCCAAAGGAGAAGTAGGGATTCACTGTGACGTTGGGCAGCTCTTCGGCCTCAGTCTGCTCACAGAGAGTGTGGAAGCTCTACAGGAAGAGGACAAAATCTGGCATTAGTGCAGCACAAAAGAGAACAGGGATAGCCCTGTGCCTGATAGGAACTAATAGGAGTCAGCCTTGTCTGTAAGGTGACATTGTGCTGCTTCTATAGATATTTGTATACAAAAGAAAAGTTTGACAGTCACTTCAAAATAGTCTCCTTTTTTCAGTGGAGACTAGGAAGCCATCGGGCCAAATTCAGATAAAAATAAAGGGTTGTTTTCATAGACGATTTTTTGCTGGTATTGTTAGAGAGGCCTGTTTCTTCGTCCATCGCCTCTCTGGCACAGTGTCAGAGCAGCCAAGCACTGAAACAGAGCAGGCGGCCTGGCCCTGTGTGTCTCGTCCATGCACAGGTGGGGATGTTGTGGGGAAGTTGAACAATTCCAGCTTGTCCTGGAGGTAGTTAATTCAAAGGGTTATGCATTTAAGTAAGGGCAAGTGGCTGCTATCAGAAATGTGATTCCATTTATTTTTTAAGGGAAACATCAAGGGTCGGCCCTGCAGCTGACCAGGCGCTGCTACCTGAATGAAGTGGATGTGGTCCTCCGTGCGCGACAGGTGGGTCAGCTCTGAGTCCCTCTTCTTCAGGTCCGCAACCTCCTGCTCCAGGCGCTCCAGGTGTCCCTCCGCCTGGGTCAGCGCCGCCCTCTTGTTGGAGCTGATGAGCTTGCTCATCTCGGCCTGCATCCTCTCGATGGACCGCAGCATGTCTCCGAAGAGCTTCTCGCTCTCCGCCAGCGCCCTCTGCGCTGAGGTCTGAACGACAAGGAGGTGGCGCGCTGTGTGAGTAAGCACGCTTCCGCTAGTGCCCCAACCCAGGAGCAAAGGCAACGCTTCCCCATGATTTTGCTCTGTTTCTGGAATTTTTTCAATAAATAATCAAATCCTAAGGATTACATTCCAGTTATGGATGCTTGTGAGAAAATTCAATTCACTTAAGTGGTAACAATGCATCGTAGTGCCTTTCAACATACTGGAACAATACTTTTCAAAAGCGATGTCTTAATACATGAAGTGTTACTTAGGCATTACACCAAGTTTAGCAGTTCTAAAAATCGGATTGTTCAAATGAAATCAATCTGTAAAACGTTATTTTGTCAGAATAATTCTTGCATACCTTGAGTGCATCCACCGCATGCTTTAGCTCCTCCATCTGTTTCACTCTGTCCTGGATCCTCTGCTGTATCTCGGCCTGTGTTGTGCTGAGCAGATTCTGAAACACAGAGTGCCACCACATAGAGGCCTCAGCTCAGGGATGCAGTCGCCTTTTAAAACATGAGTCCAAAGTCGAAAGGAGTTCCATTCCGTCATAAAAATATTTAAAGTCAAGTATATTCAAATAATAGAGGTTGCGCCTTTTCATATTACAATTTGACAAAATTTTAAGTTATATTTATACATTTTAATATTTAGAAAAGCAATAGAATATGGTTAATTCTCCACCTTAGGTTACTAATCTTAATAAGAATTTGGAAAGCAGAGTTTAAAGGAGCCTGAACTATTGATTTTGAATTCAAGAACAAATTTCTAACTTATGTGATTGATGTTTTTATGCAAAGCAGCCATTCATACAGCTGGGCATTCTCCTGGAGCAGCCTGTGTGAAACACATCACAGCAGGAGTGTTTCACTTGGGACAGGAAACCACACCCTTCCTATTAGAAAGTCAGAATCCTTCCTGCTGCTCCCCACTACGGATTTAAGACAGTTCAGTCTGGTTTGGGGAGAGCAGGGTATTTTTGTAATGTCTGTGAGAGTCCGTCAATGCCCACTGTCACATCACGGAAGAACAGACTGTTCCAAGACATCTATCACCCAAGTGTCTTAGCAAGACATAGAGAACAGCACAAGATGCCACTGCATCCAGAATGAGTAATGGGTCAGTAGGAAAAATAGCACAGTGCAGCTCTAGTCCCTCCAGCACAGCTTGTCCAATGGTTATCACCACTAACTGTGTGTGAGAAGTGGGTGGGCCCAGCTGATACTGAGCTGCAGGTTTGTCAATGTAGCATAAGTTAGTTTAGGACACAAAGGACAAAACAAACAACAACCTTGAAACAATGGCAAATAATCTGAGCCATACTACAAAAAAACTTTCAAACATACTTTCATGATTATATTATAAAAACAACAACGACTGCATGTTCAGTTGTGGAACCATTTTCAAGGTTCTAAATCTGGTGATAATGAGAACCAATCAGAAATAAATTGGCAAATTCACATTTAACATGAATGAAATACAAATGAACAGATAAGGACATTGTGTATGTTTTAACAGCTTCAAATTATCCGACATCTGTGACTAATGTGTGACTGTTTTTTCTATAGATTACACACATGAAATTTTTAGCCAATTGAACAGTTGCATGTTCATGTTAACAGTACATGACAAAATTGCACTGAGCTAAAATGTAAGACTGATGTTTGCGCAGGTGTAATGTACAGGCCAAGGGAAACGGGACCAGACCTCTAACTTCACAGAACGACTGCTGCATTTTCATTTTATTGTACAAGGAGGACAATTTTCTCATGCTTTCACCTGACCCCTTCACCATTCTGCCAGAGTTTGGAGGTCAGCTTTAAATCAGATCATAGTATTTCCACAGCGTGTCTCCCTGAACGCTCTTATTCGATGCTGAAAGGTCTTACCTGCTTCTCCACCCGCTCTGTCTCGGCCGAGACCATGTCGTGGCCCTTGTGCTCCTTGACGGTGCACAGCACGCAGATGCACATCTGGTCTGTCCTGCAGTACAGCTCCAGGCCCTTCTGGTGCTGGGGGCAGATCTGCCGGTCCAGGTGGCCGATTTCATCCACCAGCTTGTGGCGCTTGAAAGTGGTGTTCTCAAAGTGCGCCTTGAGGTGCCTTTCGCAGTAGGAGGCCAGGCACATCAGGCAGGACTTCACCGCCTTGTACTTCCTGCCCGTGCAGATGTCGCACGGGACGTCCTGCGGCCCGGCGTAGTTGTAGTCAGGGGCCGGAGGAGCAGGCGGAGAGGGCTCTGAGGTCCTCACTCGCTCTGATGTTCTCGTCAGGGTTTGGCTCCTGCGTGGGGCAGGCCTCTTGTTGTAGGTCACCTTACAGTGAGGGCAGCTGTAGGTCCCAGTATGGTCTGCATGGTCCCAGTAGGTCTTAATGCAGACTGAGCAGAAGGTATGTCCGCAGGGAATGGAAACGGGATCCCGTAGATACTCCCTGCACAGGGGACAGTCGTGTTGTTCCATCGACATCGCTAGACTTAGTTCTGTCCAGTCCCAGGGAGAGAGAGGCAGCCCGACAGCCTGATAAGCTCAGCAGGAACTAAAACGAGCGTGACTTCAGCAGTTTTATACGAGCAAACAGGGAGGGTTTTGGACTGAGGAAGTGAGGAGGTAAACTGGTTGAGCAGAAACCGCTGGGGGTGGGGCAGGTGGAAGAGAAGAAAGCCCCAGCAGAGCCTAAGAAAGTAAAGGTGTTTGTGTCAGGGCACAGGAGTGGACGCGAAGACCTACAGATTTAAAGTCCGGTTCAGCCTTGTGCAATCCAGTCTGGCATAACCCACAACAGCTACAGTAAACAGAGTTTCATATGTAAACACACAACACTGAGCCAAGGCAAAGCTACAGTATGTGCAGCATTTTGGAATTAACCCCACCACCCCTCAAAAACATGCTACCTTCTCACATCCTATTTTACCCTAGCGTGTTTGAGCATGAGCTCCAAGCACACAAATGACCCTCTCTCCAAACACTGCTTAACGTTTATCCTGCAACATAGAGAGATCTTAGGCTATGAGCTGGCAGACTAGCATATGGCTGTGCTTCAGAAAAAGTCTTGCTAAGGGCACAAGTTCAGCACTCCTCCAACACTCATTGCTTTAATGGTGCTGGTGCAATATACAGAATTACAGATGTCAGGTGTGTTAATAATAATAATAATTATTATTATTATAATTGCTTACACTTATATAGCGCTTTTCTGGACACTCAACTCAAAGCGCTTTACAGGTAATGGGGACTCCCCTCCACCACCACCAATGTGCAGCATCCACCTGGTGTTGTGGTGATGAAAGTCTTGAAGAGCTGCCATCAATTCTGTTTGATCTTCTGAGCTCCCAGCAGGTGAGTGGCAGCGCTCATCTGCAGGGTTTGAGATTGGAGGGCCCTGTATATGAGTTAAAGTCTGGATTAAATCTTGCAGCCCAGATCCCCAACGTCCACACTTGATGGCAGCTCTCCCTTGAGCAGAACAAAAAATTATCTGACAACAACCTCCCTGGTCCACCCCCAGCAAAGATTGTTGACTGGAAATTGTTTTTTTTTATCTCCAGTAGCTCCATTAAATAATAAACAAGAATCACAAAATGTGCAGGTAATGGCTATTCCTTACTATTTCCTTAGCACGGAATGCGGGTAAACTTTTGACCACCGAGTCCATATGTCAACCTTTCTACTGTACCAACCAACTGAAAAAAATGTTATCAAGGTATATTAACATCCCCTTACTTAAATATTTCAAGAACAAACACTTCAGTGGAGGCAGGTATTTTGCTAATCTATCCATTAAGTTGTTTCTCTTGAATTTGTACTTTGGACACTTTGCTTGTGAAGAAAAATTAATTGAAAGCAGATAAAAGACACAAACAGTCCATTGTGTTTCTTACCATCAATGTTAATGTGAATTTTGCTAGCCATGTGCTGTCTTCCAGCCACACGCGTAGGTATAGGAGTGTACTGTATGTTACCGAGGTAGAAATGTTTTTTGTAATCTCAGATTTTCCAGTCATCTTTCTCTTCTCTGTAACGTGATGTTGTGCTCTTTGGAAAAGGAAGAAAGATAATCGATCAGTTTTCTAACCACTTTATCAAGTACAGGGTCTTAGGAGAGCCGAAAACATCACCAAAACCACTATATCATCTGTTTGACTGATCCTATATACAGCTTGCCTAAAGTTACCATTTTAAGTTAGCTGTCTACTTCTTTTATGAATACAGTAAGTAGTGAACTGCTAACAAAATGGAAAGAGTCCTATCTTGCACATCTGGCTCAACTGCATTCCAGTCCTCATTCTCTGACTCTGAAACCACCAAACCCTGAATTTGTGAGAAAAGAATGCACCATACTTCAAAGTCTACGAGGGAAAAAAGTCCATAGACAGAGTAGGTTTCTTAATGTTTTAATTAGTTGCAAGTATTGGATGCCAATTATCAATCAACAATCAATGATTTGCCTCTCGGGACAATGGTGTGCGCAAGGAGAACCACAGAATCAAGCCGCTTCGTGCTGCACTGGATGTGTGATATACATCAGTATTCTCCTTGGGCCAATCCTCCCGATCGCAGCGCTACTCAAACTGCACGGTAATGGCGAGGAGACTGGAAAATGAAAACAAGGATAGTGCTGAAAAAAAAAATACAATCCCTGGTCTTAAATCCTGATGCACTGTGGGGATATTCCAGTTTCTTTAATCAAATTGACATTTGTCTCCATTCCTGTTCCCTGTGAGGGACCGGCCTCCTATCCAGGGTGTACTCCTCCTTGCGTCCCCTGCTTGCCGGGATAGGCTCCGGCTCCCCTTGCAAACCTGAATGGGAAGAAGCAGTTAGAGAACAGACGGGTGCATGGAAGCAATAGCACACACGAAATGTACAGCCTGACCACTTGCAGGAGTGCAGTTAATGAACAGTGCACTGTACAATGCTAATGACACATTCGATTTTCATCATCTTAAAATATGGGCTACAAATAAACACTTTCTTCTTAGTAGTGCCCTACATGTTTAAGAAGAAGGCCAAGCAGATCTCTACCCTCAATGACCTGCCCCTTCCTCGATTTTTATAGCAGCGTTTTGTTCATCCTCTTTGCTGCAGTCTGGTCTCATTCCAGGCCACTCCTATTTACAGTACTCCGAGTATCTGAGGTTGCTTACAAAGGAAGTATCGATCTTAGGAAATACTAAAAAATGCCTCATTTCCATGTGCCATCCGACTCGGCTTCCACCTCCCTAGTTCAGTTGAGCTTGATATGTAAGCCTAATATACTGATTTTGACACAGATTAAAGTGTCACAATGTATTTAAATCTCTATAAACACCCAGAATCAGATGTGATTGGCTTAGTAGCAGGTCTGGCAGTGCACCTCAAGGGTCCATGAGCAGAAAAATGCTGACTTCTGACCTTGCAGATTAATTGATGTCTGTGGTCTCCTTTTCCCCTTTGTATCTTCGACTACCCTAGGACAGCCTTTTCCCCAGTAATGATCTCCTATCATTGTTTTTTTCTTATTGTTGCAGATAGCTCAAAGCACTCAGGTCATTACTGGGGAAAAGGCTGTCCTAGGAGGATTCAAACTCTAATCCTTCAGAAACATTCATTTTTCATCATCTGAAATCTTTCGCATCTGTTCTTTTGACAATCACAGTAAATGGTTCTGGACCCCAATGAAGCCAAGCAAATACAAATGGAAAAAAAAACAATTAGAACAATTTTACCATCTGTCAGATATTATACAATAGACAGAGGTATGTTCTTCTAGCAGGAGCAACAAGAGTAAGAATAGCAGACATGGTCCCTTACTTCATTTAGCTTATCAGCTAAGCTTAATGTTTTTTTACATTTTCCCCTTATGCATCCAGACATCCAGACAAATGCAGCACTGTTTAGAATATTTGCATAAAATGTAATACTATACGTTGCCTGAATGATGGCTATCAGACACTACATGCCTGACTGATTTTATCATACTTCATGCAAAGAACTGTATTATTTAAAAAGATTATTTCTAATAACATTTTATTGGACAAAACTGGACAGTGTATTGCAGTGCAGCTTGACTAACACTAGGAACTGTGCTACCTTTTCAAACACTGTTAATTAGCCCCCCCGGAGGTATGTGAAGCAAATTACACAAAGAGTATTTATTTTGGTTTCCAGTCAACAAAAACTGGCTTATCAGAAACCAGGCAGTGACAGAAAAAGAGCTGTGAAACTGTAGTAAAGGGAGAAACTGATGTTGCGTAACCAGAGCCTTCTCTTCCTTATATGAATGCACCTATCTCTCAGAAAGTGAATGGGGGAGGGGCTAGGAGTTTCTTTTATTACAATCTCCAAGGCCTGCTTAGCCACTTCCATCTACAGACCCTGTCTAGCTCTTACGATCAGATAGTCAAGTCCTCCTTCCTAATAATGTGACGGATATTAATGTTGACTAGCTGAGCACCAGATAGTGCTTCCATCTGGGGGACCTGCTACCACTGACGATCGGATTGTTTGCGAGTGATGCCTGGGTTGTATAAATAGACAAAGTTTCAAAAAGTCTGTTTTATATCAGGTATGTGTGCCTCTAACACAATATACTGTAGCAGCTGCCTCAAAACACCATGAAGTCATTCTTCAGCTATGCACTGAGAAACGATCCCGTTCACATCTGTGAAGGCTTGCTGAGGTGTTTCTGGGATCCGCTCAGCTCTTGACAAACACGCAGAACTGTCCACCAAGCAATGGTTCTCATCACAATTGCATCACCTTTGTGTTACTTCTATGAATTGCAGGGAAGTCACAGAACCAGCAGAACTGGCAACCGACTGAGTGCATGTCTCACACATACTGTTCCAAGATAATTTATACTTTATACTTTATGGAAAGAGAAGCACAAATATCTGCATAATATAAAAGCACTTTTGTGTCCGTGTTTTCAACAAGAAGCACATTTTGAATTCCTGCCACTATAGCAAATCATTATGCATAAAAAGAGATCAATTCATTATGTCTAAGAAGAGATCAGCATACTTACTGGAGCCTCGCCGTTCACTGTTTTGGAGCTCAGTTGTTTTCTATTGTGTTTTTTAGGATGTGTTTAAGGTAATTCTCATTAATAACAAATAGGGAACATTCAAACAGGATTGATTAGAAGCTTTGACTTGTGGCACTAAGTGCTGAATACTGTACAAGTCTGTTCTGCAGCAAATAAGAAAATATTTTGACATACATCAAGGGTGTCTTGTTCTGTTCTCAAGGGAGTCTTTTTCCAGTTTGAACCCTCTCTTAATAGAACAATTTAAAGTATTGATAAAACATACAAAACTTTAATTTTAAGCAAATGGGGATTCAAAGTTTCAAGTGAAATCCACAGGACTGGATTTGAATACCTCTAGAGTAATTATTACCCAGTTCAAATATTGCCTGTGTTTACTCATGGTTGTGGAAAGAGCACAGTTATCAGATGTAGAGATTCTCACTTAAAAGCCTACCAATCCCCCCCAGATAAAATCAAAATTTCTTGCCCCTTCACCAGTTGCAAATCTAGATAAAAAAAATTAATGGCAGATTTCCTCAAGGTAAATCCAAAATCCATTCGGAAAACAGAAAACCACTATTATTTGCAACTTTGAAGATGTGATTCACTTCTGAGCCAAAGGCTAGATTTAATTTGGGCACTAAATAATCAGGCTGGTGCTGTAAGCAGCTGATGTACAGTATACTGTATATGCTGACCGGCAGGTGGGGCAGGTTAGGGTGAACTGCTGGCTGTACTGTGCAAAATCTCCCATGCCTGAGTTAATTCCTGTTGAAAAGTATTTTGATGCAAATTCAGGGAAAAGTGTGGGAGACTGATTTTTCTGCT